CGCTGTCTGAGCCGTTGGAGATACGCATATTAATATTCGAAGAGGAGGAAGGGATGACTGCTGAAGTAGTCATTTCTGACCTATTAGACGTCGTCGGCCAGCCGTACCCAGACTCAAGTCTCCACAACCCGTGACTCTAACAGGAATTCGTTGGTCATTGGGTGTCAAGCAGTCCAACATTCTACCACTTGTCGGTTGTAATCGGGAAGACGTTCACCGACTAGGTTACGCTCGCTGATCAAGTAGCCCCAGGTTGTTCAAACGTTAGACTTAGTATGGCTGGTTGACGATGTCCAATAAGTCGGAAATTAGTCAGATGTGGTTATATAGCCCCACCTGAAGTAGACAAACCCCGGCCACCTGTAACGCGGGACCGGCGGTAGTAGGAGTTTTTACAGGTGGGCCCGGGGAACGCACAAGCGACGAGGTCAAGTGGTTGTATGCAAAAGAAAAGCAATGGGGAATGCGCGGTTGTACTTTGAGTTGTTGAGAAATACGTGACCTAACTCCAACGTATTCCCTAACTCTAACCCCTACCCATAACGCAAAAGCATTGTGCCCATCAGGTGGGGCTACATAACCACATCTCTTCCTCATCCTTGTCGGTACTTGTCCTTCTGCATCTATTATGGGTCGCCAAGCGACTGCCGGCAATGAATGTTGATCGAGCTACTGCGTGTAAATAAACAAGCATATCCTGATTGATGGACGCTCTTCCCATGATAATTAGACGATTACTCTGCTGCGCTTGACCGTTCTCAAATCGAATGTTGACCTACAGGTGGTGGGCTAACTCATGAAATGCCAATCGAAATTCCGAAATGCGTTTTCGTTTCAAAAAGATTGCTTAAATAGGGTTGTAAAACTGATCATCGCGCAGCGTAATTCTATAATAATTCAACTACCTCAGGGTGCCGGCTCTCGAACGAGCTTCTATCCGGCTGCATGAAAAAACCATACTCTGTAAGAAATGCATTTTTCTCATTGATTTTCGATACCCTTAAAGATGTGATTTTAGTTCATTGGGGACATGCATAAAAATATTCATTCTTTTACTAATTCGGTAGACAATTACGTCTTCTTCCAATCTTCTACTCGGGAGAATGGTATAATTCGGTTTTAAAGAAATTTCTAATTGTGAGACTTTTTAATACCGTAAAATGGTCCCTCATAAAATGCCATGTAGCTGCATTTACCAATGTAGCATGTAAAGTTAACAATATGGCTCAAATCTATTGTCAAATCTTATGAACCCTATATGGTTTCTTCTTAATGCCGTAGAGAAATGTATGGTTTTCCGTACGGGGAAAATATACAGCTTGTAGTTTGGAAACCCTAAATACAAGTGTAACGGCAGAATGGGTTCAAAATTATTCGGGGATTGGGAAAGTTTTTGAAAGCCGAATTATCACCTCCTTCGATTATAGAATTGGAAGAAGACGTAGTTTTCAATCGAATGAGCAAAAGAATGAGTATCTTTATGCATTTTTTCCACGAAGTATAATTGAATTTTTGAGAGCAGTGGAAATCAATGAGAAAAACGAATGCTACTTAAGCAGTCATTTTTTTACAGAGAATAGTTTTTTGCATGTAACTGGAGAGAGGTTCGATCGAAAGCCGGCATCCTGAGGTAACTGAATTATCATAGAGTTATGTTGCACGATGGTTAGTTTTACAACCCTAATTAATTAACATTTTCGAAACGAAAGCGTACTTCGGAATTTCGGTTAACATTTCATGAGTTAGCCACCACCTGTACTTATCGGTGCTGGAAGTGAGTGATAATGTCGCAGCAGTTTAAGCCATAGAGAGATTCTAGCCACCACGATCATCAGGCTCCATCTCGGATAGAAAGAGGGGTTGATGCCAGTCGGGAGAATAGTGTATTCTGGGTAGAATAACTGGAGAAAGCTTTAGGGAGTTAGCTGCAGGACAAGTGTACGTCTGGCGCCGGGAGGGCGTCGTATGCGTCATAGTGCCTTAGCGCGTCTGATTCGGCCTTGAAGGTGATTGGCCAGTTGGAAAGCTGTGAGCGCACGAAAACCAGCCAATCGCTGGTGCGCACGTGCAGGCACTCACGAGAGGATCAGCATTGCAACAGGCGCCCGACGTAGAGCCACTAAGGGCTTTCCCCTACATTCCAGGAGGTTAGGACCAGGATTATGGTTCGGGCCAGTGTTAAGACTAGGTTTAAGGTGATAATTAGGGATAAGGTTGTGAGGGTTAGTGCTAGGGCAAGAGGTAGGGCTAAACGAGCCAGGGCTAATGGTTGGACAAAGGAACCTATCCTAGTATGTTATTACCGACAAAGACAAGGAAGACTGGAATGGCCATTTCTGGCTTATTAGTCGTCGTCAGCCAGTCATACCCAACCCTGAAGTGTGGAACACCCGAGGCTGGAACTCGCGACCTGTTAATTCGAAGTCCACGTCTCCAACCACTGGGCCACGAGCCCGTTGTCCTGGCGGTTTCGATCGGGAATATACAATGGTAGTTGGCGCTCACCGATTAATGAGCGTCCTCTAACATTGGAACATACCCTCTAAAATTTAGCACGTGGCCTCACGAAATCCGTATTTCCCCCGAATAGTAGTAATAATTGTACTGATGCTGGTTTTTAAGCGTTCTCGAAATGGATGTAAAGTATGGGTCGATCAAACAGAGAAACAGCTCTGACGTATGCATTAAAATGTTAATTTAGGTTGTCCAACCTGTGGGTGGTTTTGGATACTAGCAAAAAGCTTGTGGACGAGGATGCTCAGGCCAAGAGCTGACACGCTGGGGATCTGAGCATGCTGAAGCAGAACTCGTTAACCGTGAGAATGCAGGTGCGTTTGAGTCCCTCATTCTTCTTCGAAGAATAGACTCTACAACTAAGACTCGGTGGCGACGTGAGTCATTCACCGCAAACCGGAGACGCCACCGTCGAGGCACTAAACCGCAGAGACAACTGACATCCGTCTGACAACAAAACAGGGGGGGGGAGGTGATTGCTGTTCACTGCCGTCCAATATGATTTTGGTAGGCTCTGTACACCCGAACGTTGTGGAAGGCGCCTAGAATTCAAATAGCCAACAGTATTTCTGTTGCATGAAGGATAACTTTGCTTGGCCATAATGTTCTTACGTGGTTTATTCCACAGAGGGACTGAATTAGCATTTGCCCATAGAATTTATTAAACTGAGTCTTCGAGGGGAAGAAGTGAGACGACTTCTCAATGAGCATTGCGCCAAGGTCAGAGAGTTGAAGACACGACACAAAGGATACTGGTTTGTCATCATGCACTGTTATTTGCAAATCCCTCTTCCGCATATCTTGGATGAAATCGTCTTGGTAGAAGCGTACTAAACAGATTAAATATTCGTCCGATTGAAAAACCCATACTACACAAGAACCGATGGTTTTCACGTGAGCTTAGCGCGGATGGCTACGACTGTTCTTCACAAAAAGCATACACGTCATTGCCAGTCTGAAATACCGCATCCGGGTCCGGTCCCGAAGACAAAGAATACTCGGGCTATTCTTAGATCATTTGCTTAGTAACAATTTCATCGTCTGCTGCTGCTGCTGCTGCTGCTGCTGCTGCTGCTGCTGCTGCTGCTGCTGCTGCTGCTGCTGCTGCTGATGATGATGATGATGATGATGATGATGATGATGATGATGATGATGATGATGATGATGATGATGATGATGATGATGATGATGATGATGATGATGATGATGATGATGATGATGATGATGATGATGATGATGATGATGATGATGATAGGGCAGCAAGGTTAAAACGACAACAGTTGCCCCGACTCAGAAGGAAAGTTTCGAATGTATCCCCTCTTTTCAATGCTCCTTTGCAGGACCGTCAGTCACTGACCATTTTCCGTGTCGTGAAAGGAGACGCAGGGACGTATCAGTGCAATGCCAGCAATGAAATCGGTTGGGACACCATGAAGTACACCGTACGAGTCCGCGGTGAGTTTGCGCCAGTTGCATCTACCCCTCCGAAAGTTGATAAGCACCAGTCGCATGAAAACCGAAATAACAGGGAAGACCGAGTGCACCAGAAGGGGGGAGGGGCTCTATTCTGCACTGAGGCTCAAGTTGCTGCCTCCTGGCGACAGCAGCCCCTGGCAAGACTGGGACGTGTGTTTATGGCGTTTAATGGTGTCTGAAAAGGGTAAGACGACGTCAACTGCAGGCATGTGCGAGCGGGTTCAAGTGTCTTTTTGTCCAAGTGGTGTGTCTTGCATTAGCCGAGAGGTGGCATAGACGATTGTGACCGTTTGAATGCGTGCTTGTGTACATCATGCATTGGGATCAACTATAAGGCCAATGTATCTGCAAATGCACGCCGGAAAGGCAAATGACCGTCTCACAGCGGAGCGTTTGTAGTGGTTTTGTGGTGAAAGTGTGTGCAATCTGGGCGCCACCATAATCAGAGCAAATCCTAGTGTTGTAGGGAGAAGACGGAAGGCACCAGAATGAGGGTTTTATTGTGCACAGAAACCGGAGTTGTCCTCTCAGGCGGCAGTGGCCACTGGTGAAGCCAGGGCTGGTGTTGACTGCGACCAGTCATGCTTGAGAGTCCCTGAGATAGTGGTGGCAGCCGTTTTTGTAGGCTCTTGGGCCAAGCTCAGGGGGTGTCCAGTCAGTGTGTGTTGCATTTGTCGAGGGGTGGTGTCCCAGTGGCTTAGGTTGTGGTTGCAAGGGGACGGTGGCCGCATGGGCAGCTGCTGCTGTGCGGACGCAGCTATGCCCGAGTTGTCAGTCGTGTGACTTCAGGTCGGCGCGTGTGGAACGACCCACTGCAAAAGGGTGGATGACTTTGAGGCAGCGAGGTCTTGAACAATGACGCCAAACCGGTCATGATGGCTGCTCGCTATACGTTTAAGTAGAACTCCAGACAACGCAACGTCGGCTGTCGGCTACATTGAGAAGAGATCAGGCCCGTGTGGTAACTGATGCAAAGCGAACCCGATCGCTGTAGCAAGAGACATTTCGGACTCACATTCAACTGCACCATCAGAGACCGGTAGACATGCACCGGGGGCCGGACTTGAAAGCTCGTTTGAGGACCTGCTAGATGGGCGTCAATAGGTGACCACTGAGTCTACATCCTCGTCTCATGTACTTAACACTGTTAGATCGTGTGCAAAACTAGACTGTTCACAGTACTGTATTGTTTAAGCGGTGAGAGTGTACTCAGAGCGCTATAATCATCAGGCCAAATCACCCTCTGTAGGAAAAGATAAAGTCACCAAAATGAGGGGTTTGTCGTGCACAGAACCCTGAGTTGTCCTCTCACGCGCTAGGATTGGTGTTGACTGCGTCCAGCCTAGCGGTGGCAGCCGCTTTTATAGGTTTTTTTGGTTAAGCTGAAGTGGTGTCCAATTGGTTGCATTCTCAGGAGGGGAGGGTTGTTCAAGGGACACCTGGGTAGCTGCGACTCTGCTGACGCATGCGCGTTCGAGTGACTGCAGATCAGTGCATCTGGAACCGTTCGCTATGGGGCAAATTAACTTGACGCAACGGGGCCTTGAACAAGGACGCCATACGTGGCCATAATAAGTGTTATTAACACCACAATGACGTTGGTTTGAGTCCTCACAGAGCCCTGTGCAGATCGATGTTCTTTCTTCGATAAAATTTGACGCGGAGGAAGGTAAACAAGAACGCCTGGGGTGCATGGGATGTCCGGTATCGCATTTCGAATTCAGATGGCGCTCGGCTCCAAATGTGCTTTGACAGCGGCTAACACGCTCAGGTAACCGCCCTCATTTACAGGTGAAACCAAACGAGGCTAGCCGACCGGTAACCCCAACACCAACACATGTGTTTGTTTAGTTTGTTTGGGTCTTGGGAGAGATGCCAGTTAGGCCGTGGCACCCATAGACGAAGGCTTTACACCAGATCAGGTATCACGTCCTGAGAGAAGGCGTGGAACAGTAGAAATGGCATCTGGAGCGGAGGATTTTATTCAGACCATCAGAGAAGGAGCTTAGTACGTCTAGTTACCAGGTAAGTTAGCGTTAGGGGGACGGATATCAGGTATGATGAGTAACCACTCCTCACAGCAACGAGATTAGTGATATCGTAACTTTTACCCTCATGAAACGTAGCTTTTAATCATTGTCGGACATGGAATCAAATTGGCTGCAATTTAAAAGCCCGTTGCGATGTAAGCTTGTTGAATCTGACACATTTTGCCGTGGAAAATGTGCTACTGAACTGTACCAATCGCACCCTCAACATGCTTATTTACTGGACCGAGCTACTCACGCCTCATACATCATGTTGCCTGGAGAAAACGTGACACTTATGAAGACGTCATCAACAATTTGTTTACGGTTTGTACGCCTCAACTGGGTTAACAGAGAAGTGAGCTGTGGAGTGACTCGGATCGTTTGCACAAACACTGAAAATTCGATTCTCTTTAGGAACCATGGTCGACTAGGTAGTTCCTTTTATTCTCTCGCGCAGTGGATTTATGGAAACCGCTGGTACTTTGCCTTCGGGTTTTAAGAGACCAGGTCTCTGCGGCTCTAGCCCGTGGAGACAAGATCAAGATTCTGCTCTAATCCCTGAATAATCACAGGCCAATGGTTGAGTCGCTGACTGAACCAGTGGGTGGCTTGGCTCTTGTCGGTTAGAACATAGCGCAACCTATATTCTACGGTCAAGTACATTGATGTCGCGGTTTGACCCAACCCGTTCTCCCTGTACGTCCCTTAAGTACCACCGAGCTTCGACACTTCCAACGTGCAGCCTGAAGTGCACTGGTTCGTGAACCAATCAAGATTCCTGGACTGCACTCTGCAGGGCCTGGCAGATCCACCCGCGACCA